CTTTAGCATTGATGTGGTATATGCCATTAACTTCATACATTCCGCACTTCAGTGGTGGTTTCTTTGTAGGAGTTCGCCCACCTCCCCATTGGAAGTGGTTTTGTACCATGTTTTCAATGATTTGATATGCGTCTTCATAAGATTTGTCCATTAGAGCACTGCCAGCTGCAACATCTATGTTTAGTTTTATGTTGTATAGTAAACCATTATAGAAATTATGGATAATTAGCCATGGTTTAAGTCTATGATATGGGCAAAGTCTCAACATATCCTTGTATCTCTCCCAAGCTTCAAAAAGAGATTCATCGTCCTTCTGCCTAAATTTGTTGATTTGGTCTCTTAGCATAGCAGTCTTGCTAGGTGGAAAGCATCGTGCTAAGAAAACTTTCTTTAACTTGTCCCACATAGTGATAGTGTTGGATGGTAAAGACTGGAGCCAAGCTCTAGCTCTATCTCTTAAAGAAAAAGGAAAAAGACGTAGTCTTATGGCTTCGGGATTAACATCATTTGCTTTCATTGTGTCTGTGTACTGCACAAAGACTGATAAATGAAGGTTTGGGTCGTCCGTAAGGCTAGCATATAACTGATTATGTTGTACGACTTGCAACAACAGAGGTTTTAACTCAAAATCATTTCAATTGATGGCACAAGCTGTAATGTTGTTGTGTGGCTCATCTTGTGATAGAGCAACATATTTCTTAAGAGGACGGTTTTGATTTTCAACCATAACTAGTTTTGGTTTTGGGATATCTAGATCAGGAAGATTATATTTTATCCGGAATTCTTTGATTCGGTGTCTTAGATTAATAAAACGCTCGACTTCATCAATCAATTGCTCTAACTTTTCACCTTCTAAGCGAGTGCTTGGCATACAATCGGCGATTTGAGGGAAAATTTGTTGCCTTAGTCTATATTGCATAACAATAGAATCACAATATTGACTAAATTAGTCCCTAGAAATAACGCCAAAAACTTGATAGCGACTTTATGAGTCTATTAGATTATTCAGATTATCTAACTACAAGTATACAGTCTATCGCATAGTTTTAAAAGATATCGAACCGACATGGAGTAATAATCAATCTATTATTATCTATTGATACTGTGTAAAGCTAAGGTTAATGAATTTTGGATTTGGGAAACTAAAACTAAAATTAAAACAAAAATAAGATTTAAGAAATATATCAGACAAGGGAGATCGAAATATGGATTCCGTGCATCTTAGGGACTTTGTAATTTATTGGCGTTAGTTTAGTGTTAAATTGCTTTCCGTAGAAAACACTAGTTTAAAAACCTTATCTCACACTTTCGCGCTATTGATTATAGCTACACTATTTGACCATGATATTTTGCTCCCGGTTGCCCTTTTCAATCAAAGAGTGTATCTTGAAAGCTAAATAAGTCCTAATTGATACCTAAAGTGCTCTCGCTGTAAGATCAATGCCCAATTTTCACTATCCGGATCAATCATCACACTATCACGCTATCGGCTCGAACCTTTATTCTTTTCACTCTCGTGTAAAACCATTTGAATTAAAATTGAAAATTAAAGCCAGAAAAGAAATTTATGAAAAGTTAACTCTAATTTTATTACCAAGTTCGGTCGGAACGACGATCCTCACATACCAGAAAAATTAAACATATAAATCATGGTAATTGAATTTAAGGACAACATGATAAACAAATTAAAATGCGATAAACGGAAATATAAAGCAATGATATAAGAAACCTGTAAAAACTGGAATTGAAGTTGCGGAAAACTTTGAGTACAGCGGATGGAAACCAAATAAACTTCAATAATGTCGGAAAGATTATGATCCAAGCGTACAATAACATAACTTAAGATTAATAATGTGATAACCTCTCAATGTAAGAGATTATCACTTTGAATGTAAATATTTGCCTAAAACTAAACCGACAGAGCTTCCACGTATAAACGTGGATGCCTAAAACCTATGAAAACTAATCTTATATAGAGGTACACTGTTGTTAACTGCCTTCAAATTCGTGAAGAAGTCATGAAGAAAATACAGGGAATTGGGGAAGAATGAACCAAATTTTGTTTTCACGTTTTGTTGATCCTGCGCGTCCATGGAGAACGCCATGGGCTTAAGTTGGATATGACGTGGTTGAGGTGCATGGAAAACGCCATGAGGTGGTGGCGAACGCCATACACCAGAAAACTGTAGATTCTGCCAAAAACTCCATTTTTCTTGCTATTTTCATTGTTTTCTTGCGATGACACTTTATACTCAACAAGTATCTGAAATGTAAACAAAATATGACATAATAGTACGAAAGCACGATAAAAAGACACTAAATAACATGTGAATCGGGTTAGAATATATGATATGTTTTCACGTTATCATTGTTGTATATGGTTGCTGTGGCTTGTTGGACGGTGGTATCGATGAGGGCAACAAAACATATTTTTGGATCTAGGAACCAACTCTTATGGGATTTCTTTTGAGTTTTTTCTTTATTGAGAGGATGCATTGCTCTTTAGATAAATTGTCCAACTTCTACGAAATTAACCAACTCTTATGGGACTTTAGTTTCGTATGTTAGCCTAGAAAGGGGTCTCCTGGTTGTAGAATGGCTTTTGTTCTGACATGTTTATAGGACATATGAGATTTCTTCTGTCCAGTTTCTCTTTGAATCTTTAAGTCTTTTTGGCACTCCTTTTAGTATGAATATGTTAGCAGCAGCAGCTTCACCGTTAATTTGAGGGTACCCTACTGACCTGAAATGGTGCTTGACTCCTAAGTCATGGAAGAACTTTTTCAAAAAAAAAATTGTGAACTAGGTTCCGTTGTTTGTAACCATAAACCATGAAATCATGTACCAGGCTATTATACTCTTTTTGAATAACTTTTGAATATTGGTGGTTGTGACTTTTGCTAAGCATTCAACCTCAATCCACTTGGCCAACTAATCAACAACCACTGTAAGAAACTTCAATTTCCTTGGAGCAACTGAAGTTGTGAGTGTGGAAAACTTCACGCCAATTGAAGTCGTTCAATATCCCTTTTGAGATTGTGGTAATCGCCATTATGATGACCATTCACCTTGTGGTGTTTAGACCACCTATTGTGCTCGGGTTCCATGATCTTCGACTTGGAATCCCATGGAGTCGTGATGTTGTGAGTATGGAGAACTTCGCGCCATATATGCTCTCGGCGAGTGTTAAGAAGTGTGAGGTTATCCATGGGCCTCCCATTGTGTTTGAAAGTCACCCTATCCACAATGGGAGAAATGTATTGGCTCCTGTGCCGTGTATGCGATGAATCTAACCGCAAACGACCCACATTTTGACATCCATGGCTTTCTTTTTGGCATTGCTCTCGCCCATTTAAAATAACACTCAACTTGAGTCATAATCTCACCCATGGAAATGGCAGCTTTTGTGCGAGAGACTCTTTAAAGTGTTCGACCTTCAAACCATTCTAGAATGCTCATAAGATCACATCATGATTTGGATGTATATTACCTTTATAGCCACCTTATTGAACTAGGCAAAATATTCTCTCAGGGACTCGGAGTACCCATGATAAACATTGAATAGATTGGTCGTTGAAACCTTCAGGTGCTTACTCGTCGAAAACGAATGTACCATTTTCCTCGAGAGGTCTTGATAACTTGTCATCAACAAACGCAAGAGGTTCATGAACCACCTGAGAGTCACCTCTTTAAAGTGATGGATAAAATCTTGCATTTTAAGGAGTAAGAAGTGCCAATTATTTTCATCCGAGTATTGATGACAATGATATGTTTTTAGGGGGCATTTATTTCATCAAACTTCCATAGTGATGTCGGTTTAAAGTTTTATGGTACAAGGTCTTTGATCTCCTCGAAGAGAGAATGATGATCAAAGACCTACTTATCTTTGGGCATGTCATCATCACAATAACATTCTATGAGGGTTAATACGTTATCCTGCAAGGCTTAGTTGGAGCGACAAATATCTTAATAGCAACTTGCATCTCCTTTAAGACATTGTTGTCGTTGCTGCTGATGCTGCTAGCTGTTATAATGTCTTGTCGTATCACCATGGTGAGAGACATGACTAAGGAGATTGCGTGTTAAGTGAAGTTGTGACCTATGCCAGTTTTACCAAAGTCTCACAGTGGGCGCCAATTGTACTTGCGAGAAATACAATAAAAGAAACACTACTTACGTGAGGAGGGCAATAGGGATTTAGGTATGGCTGAATTTGTAAAAAATGAATATCCTTCCAACCGTAAGAGTTGAGATATTTATAAGTTTAGCTCGTGGGCCAAAATGTTGAGTGCATAGCCGATTCCTTCTCAATTGATTGACTATATCATGGGAATAAAATGACTAATTTTCCCCACTAATTAGAATGAACAGTTTCTTCCTTAGAGAATTGACAAACACCGGCCCTTTCAAGAGCTTGTGGCTTGACACACATTAATGCAATTGTCTCTTGATGGATACAAATTTCGGCTAAGTGACCCATGCCCTAGAAATGATGAGTCAGATCATACGACCCATAATCTGCCAAGTCTCACATGCTTGAGTCGTCCTATTACCCTTTATAATACTTTTCAGGTTCATTGAATTATGTACTATCATCTTCTAACAATATCAAAGTAAAATAAAATTAGGATTCAAATGATATCGAATTAAATATTCAATTTTAACTTATAAGAGACATATATGTCAATCTATATCACATAAACCTCAATCTAATCTCAAGACATTAAATGATCACCTTTGCATCAAACTTTCAATAAATTTGCTTAAAAAACAAATCCAAAAGATATAACTAGAAAATAATATTGATCAAATTGGTGATTTAATTATTCTAAATTAAAGTGGTTTTGAAGTAACCTTCACACATTGTACCAAATTTTTTTAAAAAAAATCTCACACACAAGGAGACAAACCCGCCCCAAATTATCATCAACTTCTTTATCTTACCCTTACTCACTCACCGCCACCGCTCCAATGATCCTCTAAAATCTTCTTTCTTACCAATGTCCATTCGAGCAGTTAACACCCGCTCCCTCTTCCTCCCTTCTCCCCCTTCACTCTCCTCCGTCCCCCGTTTTTTCCCTTCCTACCGCCGTCTCACCGCCGTCCGCTTCCCTCCTCCCACCCCCTCCTGTCATGGCTGCCAAAGACGCTCCATCCAAAGCCTCTTCGAAAGCGTCATGGAAGAGCTCAAATCCATACGCAAAAGCCGCAAAAAAATCGTATCCGTTAATGCTTCATCTTCCAAGTACGTTTTTCTTCCCCTTTGTAAAAACTTTCTCTACTAAGTAGTATACCCTAGAGATTCAATTTCAATTTTCTACAAGAAACGCGTGGTGTAGGATTCGGGATTTGAAATCATCTGCTCAATTGTATTTTAGAGTTTCTAAGTTTTAACTGTGCAATTTAGTTTTTAGACTATGCTTTGTCGAAATTGGATAGGGATTATGGCCATGTTAGAGTAAAAAACTTAGTTAAGCACTTATTATACATGCACTCATCATATCAGATAATTGCTTATAAAGAGCTGTATTTATAACACAGTTAAATAAAGTAATTTTGTTTTCATTTAAGCTGTAACTTGTTTTCATAAGCTATATCCTAGGTCTTGTGAAAATAAGTTGAAAACAATTTGTTTATATTATCATAAGTTGTTTTCAATAAACTCTCCAAATGCTTATGCCAGTGGATATGCTCAAATAAGCCAATCAAAGCAGGCTCTTTTAATGATTAACTTATTTGACATCTATTCATCATATAAGTGCTTGTTTATAAAGAGAGAATGAGGGTAACCTTAAGTTTTATATAAGTTCCGTTTAACCGCTCACTGCATTTATAAGCTACAGAGTACTCACACTATCACACATAGACGGACAGCAGACACAAAACTCATAGTCGCCCATGTAAATTTAAGAAAATAGAAGTGATTAATGTATCTACATGTGTTAGGATTGTGTTGGATATCAGACACACCTTCAACCATAAGGTTTTGTTTGCTAGTTAGGTTTTAGATGGGACATAAAAGCTATTTTTATAAGTTGTTAAAAATACGGCTTATGTCATTGTTTTAATTTGCAGCAAAGGATTTTGGATGTCTTTGTAACATTACCGTGACCACAATTGCAATTCAAAATTTTGGCTTATTGCGTAGAGAATAAAATAAGCTTTTTAGATACTTTTTTTTGTTGGAACTCTAACTACGTGATCTTAAAAATAACATACAAATACTTATAACTGTCAAAACAAGTTATTTGGAGGAAAAAGTAATGATATAAACAATTTGAAATTGACTGTTTATTTTATTTTGTCCTCCATCTTTTGGTTTTGCTATGAAAAGAAAGACAAGTAAAATTTTCATACAAGCCTAGATTTGGTGTCACATAGCTTTCCCATTGCTTTAGCTACTATCTTAATTTGTTTTTTTTTTTTTTGGTTTGACAGTGTGGAACTGTTGAACGAAGAGCTTATTGAAGATAGACTTTTGAACCGTTCATTGGAAAAAGGTTTGGTTTTGGAATTCAAGAAAGATTCTGATAGAATATTGTTAGCAGTTGCTCAGAGACCTGATGGCAAGAAGAACTGGATGGTTTTAGATCAGGTTCTTGTTGAAACAGCATAATGCGGCATGTTTAATAGGTTGCTAGGTGTTTGGACCTATTGCATTGTTATTAAATGCTAGAAAGTTTTAGATTTTATGCCGTCTGACTGTATCTTGATTTTTTGTACTGAAGAATGGTGTCACTAGTTCCATCAAGCGGCAACAAGTGACATATATTGTTCCTGGTATATCCAATTTTGACCATGCAGAGATCACAGCCTTTGTTCAGAAAGCTCAGGACAACATGGTAAGTTTCACAATTGAATGGTAACAGATATCCCAAATTATAACTTTCTCTCCAGTCTGTATGTAAGAACTGGATGATATGATGCAGGACCCATCACTACTTGAATTTGCTTGGTCTGAGCTACTGGAAAAGAATAAGACTGTGACAGTTGAAGAGATGGCTGAGGTAATCACGTCTTCTGGACTAGATGTCAAAGTATGTTTCGATATTCTTACATGAAATGCTTGTTTTGCAGATAATTTTTGGCAGTGCTGAGCCTCTTGAGAATTATTCTGCTCATCTCTTGCTATCAAAAGACGAAGTATACTTTACCGTAGTCAAGACTACAGGATTGCGTCGTGTTTATGGACCTCGACCAAATGAGCAGGTAGATGTATTACTTGCAAGTGTAGAGTATCTTAAAAAAATCAATGTTTCATTATGCATCTAAGTTAACTAATATATGCTCTCTGAGGACCGACGGTAATAAGTTAACAAAAGTTTATAAAAATATGTACATACTTTACATACATGCATAATATTTGTTAAATGACATTGACATTTTCTTTTATTAATATTAGCATATAACATAATAACTATATGTGCATGTGAAAATAAAGCCTTGCCAAAAGATATCTTTGATCATAACCAAAAAGCATATAGCCATATCTTATCCATATAAAAAAATTGTTTTCTTTGTAAATGTATGTTAAACACGTATTTCTTCCCTAACCAATATCAAAAAGTCACAATAACAATAGTCCTATTTTAAATAAGTCTTAAATTCTATTTAATTGCTATCTATTTACTGTGCACCACCATCATCAAATGGATCTTGTACATCTTCCCTAATCCCTACTATCCCACAACCATGGTTCTCTTAGTTTGACATCCTCAAAACTAATAAAGGAGTAGTATGTACTATAATTTTGCTCACAACCTGAAGAACAAAATTGTACAAAAACATTTTAAGACAAGTTTTTTGGAGTTTCTCCGGAAGTACCGGAGAAGTGTCCCAAGCATATGTGTTAATATTTTGCTCTAAAATTTTAAAATGTTGGAATATATTGTGTTGATAAGTATTGAGGAGTATCATACACATATCAGTGTTGGATACGGCCTACAGGTGCGACATGCTATTTTAACAATTTTGGAGTATCTGGCCTTCATAGATAGCCTTGCATTATTTTGGTTATTTTCACCTGTTTTGGACTTTTTTTTTTGTTTTTTATTTTTTATTTTTTGTTTATTTTTTGTTTTTTGTAAATTGGGATACCAAAACAGTATTTTGAAGCCAATTCTTATGCCTGGTTGTTCATCAATCTGTCATCTATCAGATGAACTTTAACTCAAGGTTTGGGGACCTACTCATTATGTAAACAAAAAGAATTTAAAACATTGTTATTGTGGTATCTTTGTCATATGGATCATTGATTTCTTTGACACATCAGCTAATTTGGGGTTAAATTATGCTTTGGCTTCTCTTTGTTGCAAAACATGTGGTCCTTTAAGGTGGTTTTCCTATAAATATGTTGAGGGATTGGGCAGTCTAGGTACAATGTGGTTTTGTCAAGGAGGCCTTGTTATTCTCCAAAGTTTACTTGCAATCTCTCTGTTATTGTCATAGAAGTTAGAAATAGGGAAAATTGCTTTCAATAGTTAACAAGATGCATTTAGAGGTGTGTGCCAGGGGAAATTATATTCATTGCCACTGCTCTGGTCATCAGTTAAAATTTGTGTTCATGAAACTTTGTCTTTTGTTTTGTCTTGCTATTAATTTTACAAAGTCTAAGCAGAAAAAATTCCCCTTTTATTTATTTTTTATTTTTATAAAAAGGCAGGTTGAGGAGCTTATTCGTAGGAAGGTTGCAAAGGAGGCTGCTGAGAAAGAATTTCAGGAGTTTATTGAACTGTTGGGCTCTGCAAAATCAATGCCTTCGCAAGATAAACCTCACAAATCTTCCTGGAAGGATAATGAGAAAATTTGGAGCAGAATTAAGTCACTCGAAGCATATGCTATTGATGATTGTAGAAGTGATGAACAAAGAAAAACAGCTGGGATGGTAACTTTTTCCCTCATAGTTTGTTTTGATTTATTGTTATATATTAAGAGTCCACATCGGATAAATATGGCTTGAACATGTGTTTATAAGTGGGGGCAATCCTCCCCTTACAATCGGTTTTGTAGGGTTGAGTTAGGCTCAACCACATTTATTAACATGGTATCAGAGCCTTGTTTAAGATCCGGTGGACCATCTACTATGGTTTCCACTATCGGGCCACCCACCATTTATTTCCACGCTTAAGTTGTCTAGTTCTGAGCGCGAGGGAGTGCGTTAAGAGTCCACATCGAATAATATATGGCTTCAACATGTATTTATAAGTGGGGGCAATCCTTACCTTACCAACCGGTTTTGTAGGGTTGAGTTAGGCCCAACCACATTTATTAACATTATATTTAGCAATTGGTGTGTCTTTGTGTGTGTAAATAATAAGAAACAATAGGGCATGCCAACAACAACCACCATGTCTTATTCCATTAGGAGAGGTCAGTTACACAGATCTGTTGATGCCACAAAGTCCTTATAAATAGTATGGAGGCATAAGAATGTAGGGAGGAGAATCCACAAGTTAGATTCAGTAGTTTTTCTAATTGGAGTCGTTGTACTGTATTTATGCTTAGGAAATTTGATCAAGTCCAAGCCTAGATTAAAACTTACCCCACTAGTGCTCTTTTCTTACAAAAATTAAACTGCTTTCTACAATGACAAAAACTAATCTTGATGGATTCAGTTGTCTTTTTACTTGGAGGATTAGTAGAAAAATCATGAAAGTTTAGTTGGAAGGGATTGAAGGGTCATGTATGTGGGTAGAACATCTAGAGGGTATGAGGGTCTTATGATGTTGGTTGATCCATGTAGTTGATCTCATCTAGTTAAAGCTTGGTTCTTATTGTAATAATACATCTCTATATTGTAGACTCTTATACATGTCACCAAAGTTGACTTTCTTGTTCTTCTAATAAGTTCACCCTCCACACGTCTTTCAGATACTAAGGGAAATGCGTCTGGAAAAAACAGCAGCTTCTGCTGTAAATCTCTTGATAGATATTGGGTATTTTCCTGTACATGTCAATCTTGATTTGTTGAAGTTGAGTATTCCCACTGATCACTTGGAAAAGATCACCTCAGCTGCTCAAAGTCTTCTATCAGACTCATCTGATCCAGATGAGGTAATTTTTATTTGTTTGATTGCCTCATAATATTGGTCAAAATCATCTAATAGTTCCTAGCTCTGGGTTCTTCATTATGAATATGAGTGCCGATCTCCAACATTTCTAACAGTTAATCTCCCAACATTCGTCTTTTTAAAAAAAATTCTGAAATCCTACCCCTTTTTTAGTGTATGTGTGCCAATCTTATAGAAACCTGGATTAAGCAGATTCTTCCTCTACTAAGCACAGGAACCATATGAGTTTTTGTTGTTTTGATTTGCTATATAGCTGAACTCAAACTTTTCATACATCTTGATATTTTCCATTTCTTCTGTAATTGCTTTGAATCCTCCATTGATTACCTAGACACATCTCAATATTTTTGCAGTTATATGATTAGTGTTTCACTATGTTCAGATTAACAGGAAGAACCTTACTAACCTGAAGGTCTACGCCATTGATGTTGATGAAGCTGATGAGGTGACCAATCAATCATTTTCTATTGGTTTTAATGAGATTCTTGCAAGTAGTGCCCCATTTATTTTTAGGCCCCTGGCATTTTATTAACTAACCAATAATATGTAGCTTGATGATGCTCTGAGTGCAACAAAGTTACAAGATGGTCGAATTAAAATTTGGATACATGTTGCAGACGCAACGAGATATGTTCAACCTGGAAGTATTATGGATAGGTATGTTGTTGATGTTCGCAGAGACATTTTATTAAATGTTTGGTGTCATGTTCTTCTTTAATGTACTTAATGGCACACAGGGAGGCTATGAGAAGAGGAACTTCTGTTTTTTTGCCCACCGCTACATATTCTATGTTTCCAGAAAATCTTGCTATGGGAGGTATGAGTTTGAGACAAGGGGAGCTTTGTAAGGCTGTTACTGTATCAGTTGTGCTGCATGACGATGGCAGGTAAACTTAAATTTGTTGATTGCATGTTGTGGGAAAAATTCGCCCAATAACACATTGGCACTATAACATGAAAATTTACTCAACCTTGCTATGTTGCTTATATTAATATTATTTATATTAACTTGAAGGAGAGAAAAATATGGAAAACCTAAATATTGTTTTTTATGATCCCACTGATAAACACCGACTTGTAAGATGAGGACTGCCCTCACTGATACACACAACACAAGCCATATCTCTAAGCAACGTGGGACTAAATCCACCCCTTCAAAGCCAACACAATGAAGGTGTTAGGGGCTTGCAATGAAGGCAATCCAAAGTGCCGCAATTAAGGCGACTAGGGACAGACTGCAATTAATGCGGAAACTCCAATAGTATACAAAGAAAGAGGGAAGAGGAGAATTATTGTGTACAGAAAATATATACAACGAAAAGGAATATTTACACAGGATACTAGGAAAGTAGGAAATAGTAAAACTTTGAAAGTCTCAACAATAATAACATCTATGATTATTAGTTTTAGAGATGGCCTTCTATTAATAATATTCTTTGTGCATTTAACAGCATTGCAGAATGTTCAGTGTTCAACTCCGTGATTAAACCAACATACATGCTAACATATGAGAGTGCGTCAGAGTTACTCCATTTGAACCTTGAAGAGGAGGTTGAACTTAGAACTTTGTCCGAGGCTGCAACTCTTCGGTTAAAGTGGCGCCGCCAGCAGGTAGATTGTTTCTTTTTAAATTTTTGATCATAAATTTTATGTTTTTAATGTACTTGTGGTTTTTCTTCAGCTCTGTCTGATTCTTTTTTTTTTTAAGAGGCCAAAAGGCCAAAATTACATTAGAATTATTCTTTTCCTATACACACCTTTCATGTATGCTTTATACTCCTTCTCTACTTCTCTAGGACAAGTTATATACAATCTTAAATTCACATTTTGGTTAACTCCTATCTTAGCTAGCCCATCTGCACAACTGTTGGATTCTCTCCATATATGCTTCATCTTCTTTTCCTTGAAAACGCTCTACTCTTTGTGGATCTCTCTCACCAAACTTCTTTCTGACCCTATAGTGGCTTTATCTTCCACATATTTAATCACATTTGAGAAGATCTTCTAGTTAACATCATCACTGTTTCATAATTCATAGCTTTGCAGGTTTCATAACTGCCTAAATAAAGCATCACCTGAAACCTGTTTCTTAAATCATCCAACAAGATTATTACTCTCGGATAAGTAATGAAAAATTGCATTTGTATTTTATATTTCTTTATGTTATTAAACAAAGCAATCACAATATTGTAAACTGATAGCATGCTTTAATGTACACATATTTACCTCTTCGTTTGCATTTATACAAATCACTTTAGATAGCTCCATAGTTGAAGTATTGAGAGTGTACAGAGGTCGGAGTTTTTTTTTGAATTTTAGAAATTTGTACCCAATTTATGGAGTTAAATATTGTGACAATTTATGGGACTGTCTATTGAGTAATAGTTTTAGCTGAATGCTTGAGTATAAATATTGCTTAGTAATTGAAATCCACACTCGGGAATCCTTAATGACATCATGACTTGTGGAATTAGCTATTTATTAAAAAAACATTTGACTTAGGCTGAAGCTATTGAGATTTATCAGCCTCTGACATTTTAGGATATCTTTCTGTCTTTGTTAAGGGTGCAGTTGAGACAACAACAATAGAAAGTCGCATCAAAGTGTCTAATCCAGAGGATCCAGAGCCATCAATAAACCTTTATGTGGAAAACCAGGCAGACCCTGCAATGCGACTAGTCTCTGAGATGATGATACTTTGTGGTGAAGCTATTGCTACATTTGGATCTAAGAATAGCATTTCTTTACCCTACCGAGGACAACCCCAATCAGATTTAGATCTTTCTGAATTTTTCCACCTTCCAGAAGGGCCTGTTAGGAGCTTTGCCCTAATCAAGATAATGCGTGCAGCTGAATTTGATTTCAGGCAGCCAGCACGCCACGGGATTTTGGGAGTCCCTGGCTATGTTCAGTTTACCTCTCCCATCCGTAGATATCTGGACCTTCTTGCTCATTATCAGGTACGTTGCTTTCAATTTTATAGTTGCAAAGATAAATAGATTTGATGCTTCTAGATGCCTGCTCTGTAATTGTTTGGCAAATCAGTAAGAATCATCTAGTAGTTTCAAGATTGTTTACATTTATGATATTCAGAGACTGGGAAACTCTGTCTCATTTCTTGTTATCTTTTTTGTTTTGTTCTTTCCTTTTGCTTTTTAGGATTTATATTTCAACCCCATATTGTATTGTTTCTTTGCTCTCCACCATTAAATCAGTATCCCAGTTCCTTATTCCACATATTCATCTTTGCTCTTCAAATGATCCCATTTACTTTTTCTTTTAAATTAACTACACACGAGCCTTGTTTAAATGAGTCACAGTCACCAATAGTCTGAGAGATATATGCCCCATGTTATTTATGTTGTGTAGAAGCATTATTTGAGTTTATATTCATGCAGTGATTAGAATCTATAAGACATTATTTTATAGCTCCAAGTATACCATATTTTAGTCTTTTTTTGAATATATTAGTCATCATACTTATACCAACACGTCTTATGCAATGTGATTAATTTCATCTCGGTATTTTCTTCTAAGATGTTTTTGTCTGTTTTGGTTGTGTCTGGAATGAATTTTCTCCATAGCTAAAGGCATTTCTTAGAGGTGAGTTACCGCCTTTTACCCCTAGTGAACTTGAAGGGATAACAGCCAATGTAAATGAGAAAGTTAGAGCAGCGAGGAAGCTCAGCAACAGCAGTCTCCGCTACTGGATATTAGAATATTTCCGAAAACAACCAAAAGAGAGAAGATACCGTGCTTTGGTCCTTAAATTTTTTAAAGATCGGATTGCAGCTCTGTTATTGGTTGAGGTAAGCCGCTAATGGTTCCTATTATATAATGTTTTTCATAGGGCATGCCATTTGTTAATTGTCCTTCTAAGGGATGATAGAAGCATACAAAACATCTAGACGGGCTAGTGATAGACACCGGTTCAGAATCTTTACATAATATAATTTACTGATGAAAATAATCCTTACTCAATAGTATTACCAGTAGGGTACCGAGCTAGTGAATACTAAAAAACAAAATACAAACAAGTACATAAACCCGTATCTGTGTAATCTAGAGATCTAGAACATCTGTTCCTTAGTTTCCTTTGCAATTATACTCAAGACGGCTCACTAATGTTCTATAATCATTATTTATAACCTATCATCTTCCACTGACCAGGAATTTAGTCATACAAGTAGCATTATTGAGTAGAGTATTGTTTTCATGAGGATTGATATTTCAACTACCAATTAACAAAGAAATGTTCTAGTTGAATAGGATTGAGAATTAATTGTTATAGAAAATGGGAGAACTGATGGAAAATAAAATTTATGACAACACAACAGTAATAAAAATGGCAGTAACAGAATAAGTGTAACTGATGAGTGATGACTACACAATAACAGGAAATTTGGTTATGGTTTGATTCCCATTTATTCAGACGTCATGTTTATATTGTCACAATCTAATCATTTTCGAATAATTGGTTGTCAGATTCTCAGTTATAGCTATAACCTTAATACCTTGACGCTTTAGTCCTAGATCTCAATTAAGCTTCCCTAATTCCTTATGTGAATACAATGCAGACCTTTAACAATTCTTATTTGCAGGAGTCACAAGATCACACACTTGAATCTAAATTTCTTATTTCATTATGTAGTGAGTACACACATATACAGGTCTAAGCCTCCTAACTAATCCTACTAATTAGGAAAAATATATACAGGACTAAACTTTCTAACTAATCCCACTAATTAGGGGAAAGATAATACTAAGAATTAAAAAACAAAAAACAAAAAACAAAATATACTAATTGTTGAATATTAGCTCAAATTCAAACAGATTCTGACAGCTCATTATGACTGGATATAAATTGTAATACTACCTCCGTTCCTTTTTAAGTGTTGTTTTTGTGTAAAAAATCGTTTCTTTTTAAGTGTCGTTTTCAAAATTCAAGATAACATTAATTATCATTTTGTCAAAATTACCCTTAGTTATTAATTAAAGAAAGAGGAAAAGTCAAATAAGTTAATAAAAAGTTAAAGGTATTATAAGTAAAAAGACAATTGTTACATGAAAAGAAGTAAACTTCATTAACTTCATTGGTATATGCGAAAAGTCAAAAAGAGACAATTAAAAAGGAATCGAGGGAATTGTAATTAACTATATTATTCTATTCTTATCTTATTTAAGATTAGCATTTATAGGGAGAATGATTATCCCTATTTTCTAGTCCGATTCATATTCTATAAATACCTCCTATGTATGGTGTTACAAAAGATATGAAATAAAAAAGACATATTTCAATACTAATAATAAAAACAATATCATATCTCCACACTCCCCCTTAAAGTGTGGTGCATATACATCATAAGCATCTATTTTGTCACATATGTAAGAAATCTAAGGTCTCTAAAGATACTTTGTAGAGAGGTCAACTAGTTGATCTTTGGAATTAACAAAAGAGGTTTTGATAATTCCGATGGTAATCTTCTCTCTAAGAAAGTGACAATCAACTTCTATATGCCTTGTCCTCTCATAAAACACTGAATTGGAGGAGAGGTGCAAAGTTGAATGGTTATCACATACAAGTTTCATAGGGCCAACTTCACAAAAATGAAGTTTCTGAAGTAAATGCTTTAACCATAAGAGCTCACATGTGGTATGGGCCATGACTCGATAATCAACTTGTACTTGACCGAGGAACATCTGTTTGCTTTTTGCTCTTCCATGAATCAAATTTCCACCAATTAAAAACAAGACCCCGATGTAGAATGTCTATCACTTGCATGTCCTGCCCAATCAACATCTGGATATCTAATGATACTGAAATTTTCTGGTACGTGCAACACATGATGGTGATTCTGATGTCTCAACATTAGAGTACAAAGTCATGACAAATGTTCTGACATCTGTAGATTGACAGAACAATTTATCCAACTGTAAACATGTAGAAAGATAAATAACACAATCAAATGGTAACCCAGCTCAGTGCAACATCACCTACATCTGGGGACATCCAAGCCAGGAAGGAAATCCACATTAGTTCAAAGCTAAACTTGCCCGTTTACAACTTCTCGCCTAATCACTACCTTGTGCTACTTCTACCTAGAAATCGCCATCTAGATATGAGATCCCCCTCTCACTTCCTAACAAACAGTCATAATTCCAATGACCATGCCAAGAAAAACCAAAAAGAAAGATGTACCCTCTTTCTACTACAATACTAGGTTAAGACTCTTGACCAAGAACAATACTCGGTTTTGTTTCAAAGCTTCAACCAAGAACAATACTCAACTCCATTGCTTAAAAGCTTTAGAGTGAGAACAATATACAACAAACAATATGTTTACCACGATGCATCAGACGATACAAAGGGTGACTTACAAAGTCACACACAAGAGACTCTCAAAACCTAACACTACAAAACCTCCCCTTATTTTACACAAGTGAAAAGCCTTAATTTACATTAAGTTTAAGTCTTCTTTAAATACTCCTCAGCAGTCCATGAGCTTTGAAATCTTCACCCAGTTCTAGCTTGATCCACATGCTGAGAGTTGCACCAATTATGCAGAAAAAAAACTCCTTAAATCTTGGAAAAAAACACAACGTTTCCTAAATTGTCTCATCATCCATTTTGGACAATTTGTGTTCAGCTGGAGATACAAAACTTGTTCCAGATAAAATCTTCTTGACCTGCGTAAATTAATGACATAATCATGACTTAGTGAAATGAATGAGATATATCTGTAAAGAAATGTAGTTTAGTCTAACTCAACCCTACAAAATCAGTTGGTAGATGAGGATTGTTCTCACTTATAAACACATGTTAAGGCCATATATTGTTTGATGTGGAACTCTTAACACACCCCGTCACGCTCAGGACTAGACAACTGGAGCGTGGAAATAAATGGTGGGTGGCCCGATAGCGGAAATTTAGAAGGTGGTCCACCGAATCTTAAACCAGACTCTGATACCATGTAAAGAAATGTGGTTGTACCTAACTCAACCCTACAAAACCGGTTGATAGAGTGAGGATTGTTCCCACTTATAAACACATGTTCAGTCCATATATTGTCCGATGTGGAATTCATAACATGGTATTAGAGCCTATCGATCGGACCTTGGGCAGCCCACCGTTTAAATCCACACACCAAGCTCAAAAAGAGTGTTGGGCGTGAGGGAGTGTGTTAGGAAGATCCTAAAGTCCCACATTGGTTGGAGATATAGCATTGAAATAGTTTATATAGAGTGACACCCCTCACCTTATCAACCGGTTTTGTAGGGTTGTGTTAGACCAAACTCTAATATGGTATCAGAGCCTATCGATCGGACCTTGGGCAGCCCGCCGTTTAAATCCACGCACCAAACCTAAAAAGAGTCTTGGGCGTGAGAGGGTGTGTTAGGAAAATCCTAAAGTCCCACATTGGTTTGAGATAGAGTATTGAAATAGTTTATATAGAGTGACACCCCTCACCTTACCAATCGGTTTTGTAGGGTTGTGTTAGGTCAAATGTATATGCTTTTCCCTCATGATGACCCATCTCTGGTATCAGAGCCTGGTTTAAGATCCATTGGACCACCTTCTATGGTTTCCGTTATCGGGTCACCCATAATTTATTTTCACGCTCCAGTTGTCTAGTCCTGAGCGTGAGGGGGTGTGTTAAGAGTCCCACATCGGACAGTATATGACATGAACATGTGTTTATAAGTGGGGTAATCCTCACTTTACCAACCGGTTTTGTAGGATTGAGTTAGGCCCAACCTCATTTCTTTACAATATCCTTCCATGAAAAGCGCATACGTGTGAATTAGAACACTAAAAAATCACACTCAAATTACCAAAATAACCAAGCCCTAGTTATCTGGTATAACATGTCCTGGAATATGTCACAACATCCCCTAGTTATCTGGTATAACATGTCCTGGAATATGTCACAACATCATGTAGAACATAATGTCTGACTGTCATGGCAAGAACAACAGGTTCAACATCTTGCTAACAACATGTTTTACCAAAATGTAGCCAATCCAAAAGAAAGAACTTACAGATACCAATGTTGCCTCTATCACAAAAAACAAGCCCTTTTTTAGGCGATCCTTTGATAATTTTCGAATAACTGCATCCCAATGGTTGTCATAAGAAGAGTTCAGAGACTGACTTACTACACTGACTGTAAAAGGTATATCGGGTCTAGTCAAGGTAAGATAATTCAACTTTCCTACAAGTCTTTGATATCTACTTGGATTAGTATATGGCTCCTCCTGATTAGGAAGAAACTTTACATTGGGATCTATAGGAGTGTCAACCGGTTTGCAAATCTGTAAGACCCATTTCTTCCAGAATATCAAGAGCATACTTCCTTTGAGAGATAACAACACCTGATTTTGAATGAGCTACCTCAATCCCAAAAAGTAACGAAGATGACCCTTAGTCTGGAAATTCTGAAATAAGTGTTTTTTTAAAGCCTTGATACTCTTAGAATCATCACCTGTAATTACAATGTCGTCAACATAAACCACTAGATAAATACTCCATCCGTTTTCTTACAAGTGTCATTTTTTTGACTTTTTATACATACCAAGACAATTAATAATTGTTGTTACTTTTTAAACAATGATTATTTTTGTCTATAATACCGTTAACTTTTTAATAACACTCTCTCTCTCTCTCTCTCTCTCTCTCTCTCTCTCTCTCTCTCTCTCTCTCTCTCTCTCTCTCTCTCTCTCTCTCTCTCTCTCTCTCTCTCTCTCTCTCTCTCT